CCCCCCCCATGCCTCCCCCCCACATGGGGCCCCCCCATGCCCCCCCCACATGGCCCCCCCCCACACACGCACACATACCCACCAGTGAATTGGATTCTGCAGTACTTTAACGACCAGCTCCAGTGCCAACAGCTTGCCAGTCTGAGAAGGGGGGGACCCGCGGGACAAAGGACAACATTGATTTTTTCACGAAACAATGCTTTTAACGAACTTGACTTTTAAAAACCTGATTTAAAAAAAACGATAAATTTTCAAATCACGTTCCACCAAGACGGAAGGCGGGAATGATGTCCCATGTGCAAACTTCCTCTCGCCATATTGCCGTGTATCATCATACATCATACATCATCACCCAAAGAGAGAGAGCATTGAGTTTTTTGGCGGCTTCCCCTTTCCCCCCTCCCGCAACTTGAAAACCATTCCCTTTAAACAACCATTATTTATTGGCATCGTTTCCCGCTAAGCCACAACAACAGCACGTACCCACCGCCAAGTACTTGTCCACCTCCGTCACACCACCCTCCCTGGAGGCAAGCCGACAAAAAGCCGTGAGCACCAGCAGCACGTCCCGCTCCAAAGTCCGCAACACGCGGGGACCAGGACCACCGCCGCCGCCGCTGCCGCCGCCGTGATGGTGGTGATGATGGTGTTGGTGAGCGCTGCCGCCGGCGCGATGCGCTCCTCCCCCCGAGCTCTGATGACGATGGTGGTGATGAGAGTGGCTGTGTGAGTGCTGGAGCGAATGGGAGGAATGGGCGGCGGAAGGGGAAGTGGAGGTGTGGGAGGGCGGGTGTCCGACGAGCTCTCGTCGCTGGGATTGCTGGGAGGAGCGAGTGAGGAGGAGGGAGGAGCTGTCGGCGGCGGCGCCGCCGCCGCTGGCCGTCGCCGCCAAGTCGCTTTGAAAGGGGCTCTCGGGCGTCGCCGGCGTCCTGGGCCCGATGGCGGCGGCAGAGGCTGCGGTGGTCGTGATGGTTGGGGAGTTTAGGCCCAAGCGGACGCCAGTCGGCGACGGCGGCGGCAGAGGCGCCGCCGCAGCGTCGCTGCCGCGAAGCACCGCCGGTGACGGCTGCAACGGCAGCGGTGGCGGCGGCGATGGCGGCGGCACGTAACCGCCGCCGCCGCCCTGGTGCAGCGGCACACTGCTTGTACGAAGGCTGTATGTCGGTCCGACGGAATGCCCGCTGGCCCCGCTGCTGCTGCTAGTCCTCTTGCCGCCCACGCCTGCGAGGGGGCCCCCCGCCGGGCCCCCCGCCGGCCCCCCCGCCGCCGTCGCCGTCGCTGCTGTCGACCCGCTTACATCCCCACCGCCGTCCCCGCTGCCGCTGCGGGCGGCCCGGCGTATCCGTCCGACCACGGGGCCCTCCTCCTCGCTAGGGTTGAGTCCCTCGTCCAGATTCGTCGCTGGTCCCAACGCCGCCTCCAACCCCGCCAGGTCACGCTGCTCCGCCAAGGTAGCCAGCTGTGCCGTACGGCTGCGGTCACCAGCAGCTGCGGGCCCCTCCCCGTTGCCATCCCCCGGCCTGACACTGCCGCCCGCGGGTGACGGTGGCGGCAGGGGGCCCCCTAACGTCAGGCGGCTGTCATCCGCGCCGGTCGAGTCTACTCTGCCGCCGCCGTCGTCGCCGTTGGACGCCCACCGCGCCGCCGCCGCCGCGGCGGCAGCGGCCAAGGCCGCCTCCGTTGCCTGTTGCTCCTCCGCCAGTAATCGCCCCGACTTGTTCAGGTGCTGCTGCAGTTGACTTGATCGCTCCGAAACCGCTGCCGCCGCCGCAGGTCCGCCGCTTGGCGGCGGCGATGCCAGTTGGCTGTAGCTGTGTTGCAAACTCCCCCCGTCCAGCGAGGATCGACGGCTAGTGGCGGCGCTACTGCCACCGTACAGTTGGAACGCTGTCACGCGTTTGGTTATCGTATTCAGCATTTGCAGCAAAGCGTTGCTTGCCGTACGCTTGATGACGTCGTCCTCTGCGCCAAGCGCCAGGTTGAACACCATACGTACGGCAGCGAGCAGACAGTCACCGTGCGCAACGAAATGCTCTGCAGTTGTGAAGGTGAGCAGTGCGCGAATGACGGCGAGCTGCATGCCGCCCGCGGCGGAGGCCTCCCCGCATCGGATGACTGTACGGATGACGCGCGACACCACGTCGTCGTCGCTGGCTTGACCGCTGGAAGAGCTTTCCCCCTGAAGCCATGCATGTGCGACCAGCTTGTGGAGACAGCTCAACGCCGCGTCGACTATTTTGGAGTTAGAGCTGGTGCAGGCGAGGTAGAGCGGTTCAAGTACGGCAATGGCGAGGCTGCCTTCGTACTGCAGGTGGCCCTGCTCGTGGTCGTGCAGCAGGTTGAGCACGTTCTGGAAAATTGGCGCCGCGGGGGAGCGCGGGGGCAGCGGGGGGGGGGAAGGGGGGGAAAAGGGAAGAGGGAGGGGAAAGGAGGAATTAGGTGAGTGAGGATAAGCTTGGAAGCGGAGCGGTAGGGAAAGAGGTTTTTTGGGGGGATGAGCAGAGGGTGGCGGAACATCTCGGGAGGGGAGGAAGCAGGGGGAAGTGGTGAGGCGTGTGTGAGGCGTGTGGTCTGCTGCAAAGGTGGTGAGGTGTGGAGGGAAAGGGAACGGGGCAAATGCTGGGTACAAGCGGGAAAGCCGGTCGAGAGGCTTCATGAGGGGAAAGAGAGCATGTGAACGAGGAGAAAGAGACGGCTGTGTGATGGTACATGGGTGCGGTGGCAGCCGAGGTATGGGTCGGGCAAAGGGATGCTCAGCGCATTAACGACGCACCTGGCACATTTCGCGAAGGTCCTTTGCTTCCTTGCTGCGGCCCCATGACTCCTTCTGGATACTTGAAAGAGTCCGCTTGACGAACACTTCAAACGCCCTGTCGGGCTGAGCACTTTGCATTGTGGCCTATTCCTAGCTGCCTGCGCTGCGCGCTGGCTGTCCTCTTGCAGGCAGCCTGTAAAGTATAGTCAGTCCAACTGTACCATTACTTGAGCTGCGCCATGACCGACTCCCTGCGTCGCTTGTGTCAGCCCCTTTCTCCGGGAGCCGCTCCAGAAGCAAAATGTAATAATGGACTTTTGCAAGATCTAGGAGCTTTGGCGCTCCAACCTAGCATGCAGAGCTCGGTTGAGCCCAAGGAAGTTGTTCTCGACCGATCCAATTGTCGAGTACTGCCCAACCCTGTACTCCCAAAGCAGACTTTCACGTGTTACTGCTTAACGGGGCTATCGCTTCGCTTTGACGATTGGGCCATGTAACGTGCCCGGCAGTTGCCACAATGGGTATCAGGAACTTAAGCTGGCACAGTGAGCATGGGAGAAAACCAGGCAGCTGCCAAAGGGTTTTCGCGTTCCCTGCGAGGCCCCAGAACCTGCGTTGTAAAACAATTCTCCAGGAACAAACGAACAGGGCGCCTGTACGGTACCCGAAATTTACGGTGGAAGCTACCTATGTCGACATGCACAGAACAGGGTGTTTCCATTTCTAACGGTTCGAGCTACGGCAGATTCCACTATTCTTTCCGCACACATCACCTGCGCGGTTTTACCTTCACCAGTACTATCCGAAGTCTGTAGTTGTAGGGCTTCTGGCTCATCACGGCATTAATAATTGGCAATTATATTATGACCTGTTGTGGGTGTCCTAGGGCGAGTAGACGCAGGAGGCAGGCATGAATTACACCGCAGGGGGGGATCGCATTGCAAGGCATAGATTTAAAACAGCTGTGAGTTCGTTTCTTTTGCTTCAAACCTCTCAGTTTGGATTTGCATATCGGGCCCCAGCACAGAATGCTCATACACATACGGAACACCTGCAGGAGGGCCGTTTTCACCTTCATTCGGAGCGGACCACAGGATTGCAACCCTTTAACTGTCAGCGATCTACTCGCCTTACGTTAGCAAACCTGCAAGGCGGACAGGAGGATGGGCTATGGATTATCTTTAACGTTGGGGAGTACATCAACATCTGCCGCTATGATGCAACAAACAAAGCAAGTTCTTTTCAAACATCCTGGTTTCATGGTTGAGTATGCGGCTCAGGACAAAGCCGCTTACACAATCCGCAATTGCTCTCGCCTGCAGGAGCCTTACCGGACACTGTTTTTCAACAATTCTTCAAATCGGAGTTGCCTTCCCACCTGTCACGCTTTCATGGCGGCAAAGGACAACGTGGACCTCCTCGTCGGACTCGGTGATGGGCAAGGTTGGCACGGTGCTCCGAAACCCCATGTATCCGCTCCCAATACCCCGTGTTCCATTGCCGCTTCCCCCTAGCGCTCAACCCCCTCCACCGGACGTCCCTTCTCTCCATCTCTCCCCCCGTCCCCTCCTTCCCCCATTTTGTGTACCGCGCTTCCACCTCCCCCCGCTTCGAACGTCTTTTTTCAACTACTTTCCAGCATCATGTGGTTCATCATCTGACTTCCCTCCTCTCCCGCCTTCTGGGCCGCCTCCGCCACTTTTCCTCCATTGGCTCTGACGCTTCGGTTCCGTCCCGACCAATTCCGTCCCACGTCCCAAACCTCCACCTCAGTGATGCTCATGTCCTTGCGGGCTCAGCTGCAATCTACAAAACCCGTCATTATCAGCACACTCCAACCGGAGGGCACCTCCGAAACCGTCCGCTGTACGGCAGTGGCTTGGGTACCGCGATCCGAGCACGGGCTGTTTGTGGCCGCATTCAACTCGGGCAACATCTACCAGTACAAAAAGGCGAGCAAGACGAAAGCGAGCGAAAAAACCGGCGTGGCAAAAGATATTGACTAGCTAAGATTGACTGAAATCGTTCAAGATCGACGATACTGAGGTTCATTTTTGCTTTATATCTCGCATAACTTACGGAAAAACATTGGAAATTTGCTACATTTCGTATCTATTTGAAACATATGGACGTACATATATATGGACTGTCACGACAAAGATGCTACAGTCGTATGACGCGACAGGATGCACTCACAAGTGATGACCCAGATCGCCTCTGCTCCTGTAATTTCTGTTAATCTCTACAATGTCGCAGACGCACATAACTGGAGAGGGCAGCGGCAAGTTCCTGTCGCTTGGATCGAGCTCAAAATCCCAGTCCCCAAGCAGCACGATTGCGGTACGAAACGTACATGCCGTTTACGATGACGTTTGTACCGGGCTTGGCATTGGGTTTCGTGATAAAGGCGCTGCGTGTCGATGCGCATGTGTTTTGGGGGGAGGTGTATGGGGGTGCATCTGGGACTGCGGAAAAGCCGCCTGGGCGCTGCGCCGTGCCATGCCATGGGCCAAGAGGAAAGCAGCAGCAGCAGCGGTGGGAGGGAGCTAGCGCCTTTTTTTGTACCTGCTTGCAATCCTCTGCATATCACCTCTTCCAGCTGAAGGACCTGTAGCTTACAGTTACAATTCCACTTCATTAAGATGGGAAGGACCCTTCGGACTGGGCCAGATGCTTTACCCTTCGCAGGGATGGAAAATACGTAGCGGGGAATGTAAAAAACGTGTCGATGTCAAAAACCGACGATGTCAAACGGTCAACGACGATGTCAAACGATGTCAAAAACCAAATCCAGAGGGGCTCTCTCTGTCTCTCACTCTCACTCTCTTCTCTTTCTGTTTTCAATGAGCGCCCCACTCTAGCCCCCCTAGTCCCTCATCTTGGACGCCTCACAGATATACGAACACCAACCTGAACTGAATCATTCCGAAACGTCCTTCACGGTTTTCAACAACTCAATTACCCTCTGCCCCTTCTTTTCGGTACCTCCACCTCCACCTCGACCCTATATACATACATACATACATACGTACATACACTGTGGATCTCGGCAACCCCCGCGAGCAGATCAGCGGGGGGGGTATCAATGACGTGGCCGTGTCCCCCGATGGGCGCCAGCTAGCGGCCGCATGCCGCGACGGGGCCCTGCGCCTCATTGACATCGGCACGGGCACCGTCGTGGGGGGCTTCTGCAGCTACTATGGGGCCCTGCTGTGCTGCGCCTTCAGCCCCGATGGGAAGTATGTTGCGACCGGGGGAGAGGACGACATGGTGGCGGTGTACGGCATCCAGGAGCGGTACCCTGTCGTACATGGCGAGGGGCACCGGTCCTGGGTCAGTCGTGTGGCCTGGGACCCCTGGTGGGTCGGCTGGGGTGGGGCCGGGTTTGGGGTTTTGGGTATTGGGGGGAGTTTGGGGGGTTGTTACAGGTACGGGAGGTGTACGGGAGGTCTATGATGTGGGCCTCGTGTGGGTTTGTACGTGTGGGCGGGAATTGGTGTATGGGGTGTTCCGGACGGGGCGAAGTTTGGGGGATTTCAGGGGGGGATGGCGCGGTGTGTGGAGGTTTACATATGATGTGTGAAACAGGGGGTGTATCTTCGCCCGTGGCAGCTACCCTGCGAAACCCTGCCTTCCCCGGTATTTCGGGGCACCCTCATCCAGTCACCCTAGTCAACTTCTCAGTGGATCGCTCAGGTTCCGCACCCACCACCAGCATCCAACGGAATCTGGCGGGTCGACAGCGGCCCAACTCCATTCCTGGTCGGCTCGCGGGTTAACTTTATCCCAGGTCACCACCGTCCATCACCTAGGGGCGCAATGCCTTCCACCATCGGAAGGACTTCTGACCCTAATGGGTATCGATCCCGGGATCTCCCGGGGGCAATGGTCGCGCCTTACCAGTAGTGCCAAACCCTAGTATATACGTATGTGGGGTTGTGTAGGTGTGAGGGCGGGTTGTGGGGGGTGGTTTGGACTGTGCCTGTGCGCGCATGTGTGGGTGTGTGTTTGTATATGTGCGTGTTTTCCACCCCTCTACCCCCGTAGCAGCAGTTGCTGTTGTTGATATTGGTTAACATTGCGTAACGGGCCAGTTGTTTCTCTTTGACTTTTCGTACCACATCACTCTACCCCCGCCCTGCTCCTCCCCCCGCCCTTTCGGGCCCCTTAACTCGTTCCTGGTTCGTCTTTCCCCCCCTCACCCCCCTCACCCCCCTCACCCCCGAACACACACATACACACATACACATTCAGGGCGGGTTCGGAGCCTGGCACCGGGTCCCGTGCGGGTCTGTCCGAGCAGCTCGCTCCCTCCACCCGCATCTACCGTCTGGGGTCGGCGGGTCAGGACTGCCAGCTGTGTTTGTGGGACATGCAGGCGCCCAGCGAGGGCGACATCAGCAGCAGTGCCGCCATGCTGGCGCAGATGTCGGTGCTGGGAGGCGGGGGAATGAAGTGAGTGGGTTGCTGCTACTGCTACTATTGTTGTACTGCTGCTGTTGTTGCTATTGCTGCTGTTTGTTGCTACTGCTGCTGTTGTTGCTGATGCTACGGATATGCGTCTGGTGCTGCTGTGTTTTGGTTTCCTGTTTTGGATTGTGGGCAAGAGGAGGGGGATGAGCGAGGAGAGAAAAGGAAGGGATTTTTGAATGAAAGGATGGGGTGGGGTGGAGGATTGCTTTAAGAGGGGAGGGGAGGGGATTTGTCAATAGAAACATACATGCAGATACACATACAATACACTCTCAACGTGATATGTGTTTGCGCGCTGAAATACACACGCACGCACGCACGCGCGGACTCGTGTACGTCATATCGATGTTTCCATCTCATGGCTCAGATTATAAAAACACACACGCACACAATTTTAATATTATCATTAATATTATCATTACTATTGCCTACTCGCCACAACAGGCGTAACGGCAGCATCGCCAACCTTGGCGGCGGCCGGGGCGGCGACGGCGGCGGCGGTGTCGGCGGGGGTGGGTTGGGCCCCGTCAACACCACCACCCTGCACGACAGGAAGATCTCCCTAGGGAAGAGCTCCAGCGGCATCTGCCCCTCCCTGCCGCGAATGGACATGTACATCATACAACCCATCATGGAACATAAGTGAGTGGGAGCCGGGGACGGGGGAGTCATCGTGGGGGGAAGGGGGAGGGGGTTAGAGGGAGGAG